CTTTGCACAGCCCTTTGCAACGAGGCTTTGCAATAGGGATTTGCATGGTGCTTTGCACGGCCCTTTGCAACGGGGCTTTGCAATAGGGATTTGCATGGTGCTTTGCACGGCCCTTTGCAACGGGGCTTTGCAATAGGGATTTGCACGGTGCTTTGCACAGCCCTTTGCAACRRGGCTTTGCAATGGGGTTTGCACCCTGAAGCTCTGCATGGGGCTCTGCACGGCCATTTGCACAGGGCTCTGCCCAGGCCTCAGCGCAGGCTCTGCACGGGGCTCGTCCTGCAGCTTTGCACGGGCTTGCACAACCCCCAAGGCTCTGCACCGCGCACARGGAGCCGTGCAGGGCTTTGCACAGCGCCTTGCACGGGCTCTGCACCAGGTTTTGCAGCACAACACGGGGCCGCATTCACCCTTGCCAGCAAAGCGGGTCACGGGCAGAAAGGGGCGATTGTGGCGCGCGGGGGACACCTCGGGGACAAGCCGGGTGCGTGTCCCCCCCCAGGTGCTTTCCAAGGCCCCCAACGCGGAGGACCCGTCGGCGCCGCCGGACACGCAGGTGACCGTGCAGCTCTTCGACGAGGAGCCGCTGGTGCTGACGGTGCCGGGCGCGGTGCCGTGGGACGACCCGCGCTTCATGGAGCTGGTGGCCGAGCAGGCGCTGCGCCTCTACAAGCAGCGCGCGCTGTGAGTGCCGGGACGGGGGGGACAGCGTTGGGGACGAGCCGCCGCCGACCTCCCCGCTGCTTCCTCCCGCAGGGAGTAGCTGTGCCGCTGCTGCCGTGCCACCCGCTGCGTCTCCGGCACCCCTCACCCTTCCCGCGGCTTCGGGGAGCCCCCCGTGCACAATAAAGGTAGATGCGGAGCCCGAGGAGTCTCTTGGCTTTATTCCCAGCGCATGGTGAGCGCGGCGCTCCGGGAGAGAGCCCTGCTCCCATCCCGGCCCTTCCCGGGCAGCGCGGACACCCTGGATCAGCTCCGGGTTGATGCGCTTCATGGGGTGCATGGAGCACCCTGAGCGAGCGCCCTGGTCCCGGGGACCCCAGGCGACCTGTCCGTGCACCCGGGGCTCTCCAGAGGCACGGAATGCCCAGGAACTGCTGCAGGATGGGCAGCGATCCTGCCTGCCCGCGTGTCCAGCTGGCAGAAGGCGTCGAGCGCGTCCTCGAGCGCGCGCCGCAGCCGCCGCAGGGATGCAGTGCACGGGCACCAGCATCACGAAGCSAAACAGGCCTGAGGAGCGAGAGGGTGATGGGGGGTACCCCACAAGCAGCCCCACAGCACAGGGGTGCCCAGCACCACCGGGCAGCACCACCACAAAACTGCTCTGGGGGTCTCGTCCCTCTCCCCAATGCCCCTTTGTTAGGGCAACATCGATGGTTAAGGGACTGCCCAGAGAGGCTGGGGAGTCTCCTTCTTTGGAGATCTTTAAATCCCGCTTGGATGCAGCCCTGTGCCACGTGCTCTAGGTGACCCTGCGTGAGCAGGGGGTTGGACTAGGTGACCTCTGAGGTCCTTCCAACCTTGGGCATTCTGGGATTCTATGACTGGAACATCTCTTGTATGAGGAGGGACTGAGTTGGGTCTGTTGAGCCTGGAGAAGAGAAGGGTGAGAGGGGAGCTGGTGAGTGTGTCCAAGGAGCCGAGGGGAGGATGGAGGGAGGAAGGTGCAAGCTCTGGTGGGTGGTGGCCAGGGGCAGGCCAAGGGGCAGTGGGTGCAGGTTGCAGCGCAGGCAGCTCCATGTGGCCGTGAGGAAGAACTTGTTTGGTGGGAGGGTGCCCGAGCCCTGGCCCAGGCTGCCCAGGGAGGCTGCGGAGGCTCCTGCTCTGCAGATCTGCCAGCGCGCCGGGATGCRCCCGGGTGCCCYGYGCTCTGGGTGTCCCTGCTGGAGCAGGGGCTGCGCTGGGGGAGCCCTGGGGGTCCCTGCTGCTCCCGCCACCGCAGCACGTAAAACACCCCAGGCAGGAAAACTCGCCCAGGAACATCCCCGCGGCCTGCGGGAAACGGGGGAGCGGGGCTCGGGGGATCCCCGGCACGGGCAGAGGGCTCCCCAGGCGCCGCATCCACRTTTTATCCCCCCAAAACCACTTTATCCCCCCAAAACCAGGGGCTGTGGCAAAGCAGAGGCTTGAGCTGGTCCTGGCTGCCACCACGGTGTCACCCCATCCCGGCCGTGTCCCGGGGGACATTAGGAACAGCCCCCCCCCGTGGGGACACCAGGACACCCGGCGGCACGGAAAGGATGGATGGATTGGGGGATGCGGCTCCGAGCGAGGAAATTCGCCGGGATCCCGGACCGCATCCCAGCGGGACCTGCCTCATCCTGCCCTTGGATGGACTCCCGGCGGGGAAACGGACACCTCAGTGCCGCGAGCACCGGGATCCGCTTCCAGGCGTTTTCCCCATGTTTCCCACCCTGTTTCCCTAAGGATCATGCAAACGATGCCGAGTCCAGAGAGATCCTGAGTCCCGAGAGATCCGGAGGCAGCTGGGAGCCACTTCCAGGCATTTTCCCCATGTTTCCCGCCCTGTTTCCCTTGGGATCGTGCAATCGATGCCGAGTCCAGAGAGATTCCTGAGTCCACAGAGATCCAGCACAGCCGGGAGCCGCTTCCAGGCGCGTTCCCCRTGTTTCCCATCCTGTTTCCCTTGGGACTGGCCGGCCCAGCAGGTGAAGCCGCCCCCATTGGTGTCCTTAAGGCGCAGAGGGGACCCCAAAGCCCCGCCATGGTGCAGGGGGGGGGACCCTAAGGCCCAAAGGTGCAAAGTGTGGGGGGCAGGTCTCAAAAGGGGCTCCCCAATATGTAAAGGCGCCATCCCAGGGCCCACGTGGGGGACCCCAAAGTCACCCCAGGCCCAAGGGGGGAACCCCAGGGCCACTCCAGGTCAAAAGGAGGGATATGGGTGCTACCCTAGGCACAAAGGAGGGACCCCAAAGCCCACAGGGGGGACCCCAAATTCAGCCTAGAGTGCAAGGGGATCCCCAGGGCCCAAAGCAGACATGCCAGGACCCAAATAAGGGACCCTAAGGTCACTCTAGACCCAAAGSGGCCACCCCAGGGCCACCCTAGGCCCAAAGCGGGACCCCAGGACCCAAATTAGGGACCCCAACATCATCCTAGCCCCAAAGGGGGACCCAAAGGGGTCACCCCAGGGCCACCCTAGCCCAAAAGGGCAGTTCCAGTGCCCACACTGGGGACATCCATGTCACCCTTGGCCCAAAGGGGGACCCCTGCTCACCCTGGGGTACAAGCAGGGGTCCTCAGTCCCCTGGGGGGGGCATCCCAGCCCATAAGGGGCCCCTTGGGGCGCACGCAGGGACTCCAACCCCCCCCAGGGCTCCAAAGGAGCGCCCCAAACTCGTCCGAAGCGGTGCCTGTCTCCCGCAGGACACGCCCCCTCCCGCAGGACACGCCCCCTTCCCCTGGCACCGCCCCCTCCCGCAGGACACGCCCCCTGGCACCCCCCACATCCCCCACCGGCCCCTGCTGTAGGACACGCCCTAGGGACACGCCCCCACCCCGCCCCTTGGCACCGCCCCCTGTCCCTGGCACCGCCCCCGGCCGCAGGACACGCCCCCTGCAGCAGGACACGCCCCCAGCCACCTCCTACTACCCTGCCCGCCTCGGTCCTCCCCCTTTCGCCCGGCCCCGCCCCTAACGCAGGACACTCCCCCTACGCCCCGCCCTCTGCCACCTCCTAGCACCTCCCCCAATAGCCCCCGCCCCCTGCTGCAGGCCACACCCCCAACACCTCCCACTGCCCCCTCCCTCCAGGCCCCGCCTCCGGGCCCCGCCCCTCGAACTGCCTCTTCCCGCGCCCCTCCCCTGCCACCCCGCCCCTCTCAGCCACGCCCCCTCCCGCCTGGCCCCGCCCTCTCCCCTTGCCAGCGCCCCCTAGAGCCCGGCGCTGCTCCCTCTAGGTTGGCCCCTCCCCTTTCTCTTGGCCACGCCCCTCGCGGCTAGCCCCGCCCCCCAGGCTGATCCCAGCCCCGGGCTCATCCCAGGCGCTCCGGAGCCCGGGAAGGAGCCCGCGCGGGTTGGAATCCGGGTTGGAATCCGCCTTTATTTCCCTGTCTCCTGAAAGAGAATCCGCGGCACCAAGATCCTTTGGCATGAGGAGCCCGGGAACGGGGCAGCGTCTGCCCGGACAAGGCCGATGCCGAGGGCGGAAAGGAGCCKTCCCGGAGGCACCCGCCGGTTTTCCTGCACGGCTCCTCCTATTTATAGATTCCTACGGATATGGATGTCTGTAATAAATAGCCTCCGTTCTCCCTAGCAGTGGGAACGTCAAGTGCTGGGCAGAGCTCTGTGTGGGGGAATGATCCCAAGGAGATGGAGATGCTCCTGCTTCCTTGCACTCCTTGAGGGAATGCTTCCTTGCATTCCTTAAGGGAATGTCTGCATCCCACAAGGGTTGCTTTTCCCTGGATGGGAAAAGCAGCTCCTAGCTTGGCATGGGGATGGATAGGGCCCCAGGGTGTCGTGGGGAGAGTGGGATGTGGGAGACAGCTGGGATGCAGCTGGTACCTGGAGGATGAAGGATGCAGCTGGTACCCAAAGGATGCAGGATGCAGCTGGTACCCAGAGGATGCAGCTGCATCCTAGAGGATGCAGGATGCAGCTGGTACACAAAGGATGAAGCTGGTACCCAAAGGATGCATGATGCAGCTGATACCCAGAGGTACCCAGCTGGTACCCAGAGGATGCAGGATGCAGATGGTACCCAAAGGATGCAGGTGGTACCCAGAGGATGCAGCTGCTACCCAGAGGATGCAGGATGCAGCTGGCACCCAGAGGATGCAGCTGCTGCTCCAAGGATGCAACAACCAGTTGAGGAGGAATGGGTGGGAAAAGTCCCTTAATGCTCCACATTGTCCCCACCCAGAGCCTCCCTCGCTGGGCGCAATTTGGGCATCACCTCCAGGTGATGCTCGCGGGTGTCCCGCCGCCTCTGCTGGGAACGGTAGGGAAACTCCCGGGTTTGGCTTCAAAAAGGGGTTAAAACAACAAAAATACAACAAACTAAAGAGTTAAATAAAAAACCCCTCCGTGCGGGAGCGGCGGGCAGCGTTTCGGACGGCTACGTGACTCGCGGCGGGTCTGCTCCGCGCCGATGGGGGGGCGTGTGCCCGCGCGAGGAAAAGCTCCGTCTAAGCCCCTCTTAGCCTGGTTTGCGGCCGCTGTTCCCGGCAGCATCCTGCCCTGCGAGTGCCGCTGGAGCACCGAGCGGGAAGGATGCACCGGGTGCGAGCAGCCGGAATCCGGCGCCCGGATCCGCCAGCGCCGTCCCGGTGCACAGGGCCGAGAGCGCATGTGATGAGCTGTGTGCGTCGGCGTGGCCTCGCTCTGCAAGGCTGTGTGCACGTGTGCACGCGTGCATGCATGTGTGCACGCACCTGCGTCTATCTGCATGCACCTTCACACGCTTGCACACACTTGTGCACAAACCTGCACACATCTCCACATGCTTGCACACACGTGCACAAACCTATACACGTTTGCACACGCATGCACACTCCTTCACACACCTGCACGCGCACGCATGTGCATGCACACTCCTGCATATACCTGCACACGCTTTCACATGCATACACACACYTGTACATACACACATGCTTGCACACACGCACACGTTTTAATTATTTCTACATACATGCACATGCTTGCRCACACACACACGCATATMTTTTCACATGTTTTCACACACATCCACACACACGCACACACTTGCATACCTGCGTACACACCTGCACACACCTTCACATGCTTGCACACGCTTGCACGCATACATTCAGACCCTTATAAGTGCTTGCACACACTTGCACACACTTCCACGCATATGCACACACATAACTTCACACGCTTGCATGCACCTGCACACGCTTGCATGCACTTGCGCACGGCTGCACATGCTTGCACACGCATGCCCCCGTCTGCACGCGCCTGCCTATGCTTGCACACCGCTGCACAATTTGCACCCCCGTGCAAATGGGGGTGCAATCCTTGTGCACAGGAGGTGGTGCCCCGCGCGTGCTGCAGCTCCCAGAGGCCACCGGCCTCSTGTCAGCGCCCGCCTCGCCCGGCCTCCCCACCCCGCTTCCCACCTTGCAGAGCAGTCCGTGCAACAGCCCCAGGTTTAGCGCCGGCCGGGGGGACCCGCCGGCGGGGAGGCTACACGGAGCTGCGGCGCTTGCCGAGGCCCTGCGCGGCGGCGAGGCTGTGGAGGCCGCTGGAGACGGAGCTGAGYGCGGAGCGCGGCGCGGCGCAGAGGCAGCGGCGCCCGGGCGCCCCGGCGGCGCGCGCCGCCTCGCCGCCCGCCTCGGCGCTCGACAGCTCCCGCGGGATGATCATGGGGATGGAGTACTGCAGCTTCTCGCGGCTCTTGTACCACAGGCACGAGCACATGGACTGGAAGTGCAGCACCTCCGCGTAGACGTTGCGGAAGCCGCCGGCGGCGCCACCGGAGCCCGCGCCGCCGTCCCCGACCTCGGTGACGGCGGTGGCGCCGCGCGCCAGCAGCGCCCGCTGCTCCGCGTCCCGCTTCTCGTCCTCGGCGTTCATGGTCATGAAGCGCAGCACGACGAGGTTGAGGAAGGCGCCGATGACCGTGAGGCCCGTGAGGATGTAGACGAAGCTGAAGGCCACGTACTGCGGCTTGGTCTGCAGCGCCTCGTCCTTCTGCAGCGCCACGTAGTCGCCGAAGCCGATGGTGGTGAGCGTGATGAAGCAGTAGTAGTAGGCGTGGAAGAAGCTCCAGTGCTCGTAGTGGGAGAAGGCGGCGGCGCCGACGCACAGCGTGCCGATGCACGAGAGGAAGCCGATGGTGACCATGTTGGCCATGGAGACGTCGGGCCGCCGCATGCCCAGGCCCTGCTTGAGGCGGCGCAGCAGGCAGCGCACGCACGTGTTGATGCGCTCGCCCAGGCTCTGGAACATGACGAGCGTGAGCGGGATGCCCAGCAGCGCGTACACCATGCAGAAGACCTTGCCGCCGTCCGTGCTGGGCGCCGCGTGCCCGTAGCCTGCGGAGAGGGGGGGACAGAGGCGGGAGCGCGCGTCGGAATTCCGTGTGGATACGGGGGTTGGGGTAAGGGGGGGTCCCTGTGGGGTGGGAGCAGCTGGGTTGCTGGTAATCCCCCGCAAATGGGGCTTATTCCGGCGCCGCTGGATTACTCTGCTGCTAATGGGTGCTGGGGAAAAGGATGGGGGGGAGATGGAGAGGAGGCAGCAGGGAGTGTGGGAATGTGCTGCTTCCTCCGCAGCACAGCCTTCCCGCTGCTCCGGGCTCCGATCGGATGCTCCTCCCGGCCCTGCGCCAGCCCTGATCCCGCCTGGACAACCCCTTCCATCCCAGTTGCAAGGAGGGCTCTATTCCATGGATCAGGTGCTCCTCCAGCTCTGATCCCGCTTGGACAACCCCTTCCACCCCAGCTGCAGGGAGGGCCCTATTCCATGGATCAGATGCTCCTGCCCTGATCCCACCTGGACAACCCCTTCCACCCCTGCTGCAGGGAGGGCTCTATTCCATGGATCAGGTGCTCCTCCTGCCCTGATCCCGCCTGGACAACCCCTTCCATCCCAGCTGCTGGAAAAGGGCTCTATCCCACATGCCGCATGCTCCTCCAGCCCCGTCCAGCACTGTTCCCAATGGGAGGAGCAGCCCCAGCTGCCCTGTTCCCAGCAGCTGCCATCCCATCCCTGTCCCCATCCCTCTYCTCCGGCTCCCGGTGATCCTGGAGCTCCTCACACGGAGCCAGCGCTCACTGGAGGCAGCCCAACCTAAAAATCTGGTCCCAGGGAGTATCCTGGGGCCGGAGATGGTTCCCATGGGAATGTCACTGTGTCCCAGCCCTGCTTGATCCCCGCTCCACAGAGGCAGGGAGCATTTCCCAAATCTCCCGCCCCAACCGCCTCCGGGCTCCCAGCCTCCATTCTCCAACAGGATGCACCAGCCTGCAGCCTGGATCCCAGGGAAATCCCAGCACCCCTTTCCGCAAGGATGAGGCATGGGATTTTCCCACCCTGCGCAGGCTGCCGGAGCCGGGCAGCGCCTCGCAAAGCCGGCTGTCATCCCGCAGGGATTTGCCCCCGTCCCGCAGGAGGATGCGGAGCCCAGATTCCCATCGGGAAGCCCAACGCGGCCCCCRGAGCGCTGGCGGCTCCTGCCCTTTTTCGGGCCGCAGAGGCTCCGGCCGCATCCGGCTGCTGTTCCCGGGAAGCAGGTGCAGGCGGCAGCTGGCTCCCGGCCGGCCGTAAATCCCCGGCTGTCGGGCGGGATGGATGGCCGGGATTAGCGGGGCAGCTGGCTCCGTGCCGTGGAAAGGGGCCTGCAGGGATGGKCCGGCGGAGCCGAGGCCGGTGCTGCTTCCCGAGGGTTGGGAGAGGGGTGGGAATGTCGTGGCGGCGAGACACCCAAGATCCCGAAGGGGAAAAGGGTTGGGAAGGTGCAGGGAGTGTCGTAGACCTGGGTTGTGGATGCAGGGAGGGTATAGGGATACAGGGATACAGGGAGGCGTTTGGGGATGCAGGGATACAGGGAAGGGTTTGGGGATACAGGGATATAGGGAGGGATTTGGGGATACAGGGATATAGGGAGGGATTTGGGGATGCAGGGGTACAGGGAGGGATTTGGGGATGCAGGGACACAGGGAAGGGTTTGGGGATACAGGGATACAGGGAGGGGTTTGGGGATACAGGGAGGGGTTTGGGGATGCAGGGATACAGGGATACAGGGAGGCGTTTGGGGATACAGGGATACAGGGAGGGGTTTGGGGACACGGGGATACAGGGAAGGGTTTGAGGATACAGGGATGCAGGCAGGGATTTGGGGATACAGGGATGCAGGGAAGGGTTTGGGGGTGCAGGACGCAGGGAGGCAGGAGGAGATCTGGGGATAAAGGGACATGGGAAGGAATACAGGGACACAAGGATGCAGAGCAGCTGTTGAGGATACAGGGATACAATTATACAGGGATACACGGCAGGGTTTGAGGATGCAGGATTCAGGGATCCAGGCGTGCTGGAACACAGGAATGGAGGAAGGGTTTGGGGATGCTGGGATGCAGGGACACAGGAACACAGGGACAGAGGGATAAAGGAGTGCAGGGATGCAGAGAAGGGATTAAGGACACAGGGATGCAGGAAAAGGTTTGGGGATGCAGGGATTCAGGGATACAGAGATGCAAGGACACCGTGAAACAGGGATGTGAGGCAGGGCAGGGATCCGGGACACGGTGCCCATGAACCAAGCGGCATCGGGTCTCAGCGCGGAGCGGGCGCTGTGGGAACTGCCGGCTCCGGGCAGGCTGAGCAAACAGGGCGGAGAGCGCCGGGAATGGCCCCCCCGCGCCCAGCAAACACGGCCCCACGCGCAGGGAAGGGACGGGACGGGAAGGGAAGGGAAGGGAAGGGAAGGGAAGGGAAGGGAAGGTGACATGTCCCCAGCTCGGCAGCTGGCGCGTGCCAGCCTGGCCCATTCTCCGTGTCTCTTTGTACATCCCTTTCTCCAACCATCTATCCACCTGCTCTGCTGTCTGAGCAGGTATCCATGCACCCGTGCATCCATGCATGCATGAATCCATCCATCTGTCCATCCATGCATCCATGCATGCATCCATGCATGCATGAATCCATCCATCCGTCCATCCATCCATTCATCCATCCATGCATCCAGGCATGCATCCATCCATCCATGCATGCATCCATGCATTCATGAATCCATCTTTCCATCCATCCATGCATCCATCCATGCATGCATGAATCCATCCATCTGTCCATCCATCCGTCCGTCCATCCATGCATCCATCCATGCGTGCATGAATCCATCCGTCCATCCATCCATCCATCCATCCATCCATCCATCCATCCATCCATCCATCCATCCACGCATGCATCCATGCATTCATGAATCCATCTTTCCATCCATCCATGCATCTATGCATGCATCCATGTATCTATGCAGCCAGTCTTCCACTCTCACACACAACCATCCCACCATGCAGGAACCGCTGGTGCACCCACCCATGCACCCAGCCCTGCATCCACCSGCACATCCATCCATCCATGCTCCCATCCACATGTGCATCCACCCAGCCTTGCAACTAGGCATCTGTGCATCCATGCACCTATGCATCTGTGCATCCAGCCACACGTGCATTCATCCATACTTCTATCCGAACGTGCARTCCCTCCATGCAACCATCCACGCAGACATCCAGCCGCACGGCACCCATGCACACACTCATCCATATGTCCATCCATCCACACATCCGTATGTGCATCCATGTATCTATCCTTCCATGCACCCCTCCAAATGTGCATCCACYCATGCATGCACCATCCATGCATGCACCCACACAGGCATCCATTCATGCGTCCACCCATACATGCATTACCCAGGCATCCATCTGTATGTGCATCCATGCACCTATCAATCCATGCATGGATCCATCCTTGCATCCATCAAAATATGCACCCACATATGCATGCACCATCCATGCATCCACCCATGCATGCACCACCCATGCATGCATCCACACATATGTGCATCCATCCACACATGTATCCACCCACACATCCATCCATATGTGCATCCATGCATCCATCCACATATGTATCCATCCACACATCCATCCATACGTACATCCCTGCACCTATCCGTCCATGCATCCATCCACACATGCATCCATCCATGCATCCATCTGTATGTGCATCCATGCACCTATCCGTCCATGCATCCATCCACGCATCCATCCATATGTGCATCCCTGCATCTATCCATCCATGCATCCATCCGTATGTGCATCCATGCACCTATCCGTCCATGCATCCATCCATATGTGCATCCCTGCACCTATCCACACATGCATCCATCCACACATGTATCCATCCACGCATCCATCCATATGTGCATCCAC